GCGAATAAAGTTACCGAATACTGTGGCCAATGTTGCTGCATAAAGTTTGACAATGCATAAAGTTGACAAATAATGTTGCTTAGCCGAATAAAGTTGATGCACGGCCGAATAATGATCATGCATAATGTTGAATTAATAGTCGAATAATCTTTCCAAGTAAAGTTGATGCACTGCCGAGTAACTAGTGTCAAAACATCGGTGTCCATTTCATATATAATGTGATTTTGCCGAAAAGTTGGTCAACAACACTTAGATCGGTGACTGTGCCGATCTTTTGGTCAGCGATTTTTCTTAGCTTTACGGTGTGTCGGCATCCGTTCGGAGTTGGATTTGCAAAGAACTTGGTTGGCAATGATTGCCAAATTATTAAAGTTGAGTTTCTTGTCTAACGTATACTTGTCCCATTGCTTTTGAATAAGATTGGTTATTTGGAAGGAATAAAATAGACAAAATAGGGTGCTTGGAGATATGCGAAGTGAGCCATTGCGCTCAATTTTTGAATAAAATCGGCAATTTTTATTTTATTTTATTTTATTTTATTTATTTATTTAGCAGAATTTGCAAATTCTGACTGCCCAGATGGACCCAGAATGCGTCAAATAGCTAAAAAGGACTATTGGATCGCTTTGATCAGACTCCTGATGGCATAATTGTAGCAAAAATGGATCTAACGGCTCAGATCAATAGGGTGTAATGAAACCGCGACGCACATGATCGGTCACTTTTTTGCTCCTCTGGGTAGTGGTTTTGGACTCTTTGAGTCGACGCAAATCCTCTGGTATAGTTAGATGTGGATTTCGGTAAGCCGAGGTGCTAATTTTATGTTGAAATCATAGTGTCGAATAAGTTGTCCATGCTAGATAATGCAAAGTTGACATTAATTCGCTCTTGATAATATGCCGAATGATCTGTGGATAGAATCGGTAATATACCGAATAAGTTATGAATTGATATTATGCAAATGTAGTTGCTAATATGCCGAGTGGTTGAATAAGCCGAATAAGTTGTCGAAACTTTGTTGATAATATGCCGAATAAAAGTTGTCGAAACTTTGTTGATAATATGCCGCATAAAAGTTGTCGAAACTGAGTAATAATATGCAGAGTGAATGAAAATACAAATTGACGAACAAGTCAATAAGTTTGCCGAAACTCCCTGTTGATAATATGCCGAGTAAGCCAATAAAATTGTTGAATTGTTCGTTGGGCCTGTGGATGTAAGTTGGTTTGTTGGTGGTTGCCGAATATGCATAGTTGTGATTGTCGAATATAAAAGAAATTCAAGTTTAGGGTGAATGATCGGTGAAGATGGATAATTGTGGCTTAACTCCTAGAGCCTGCTGTCAAAATTGCATACTAATCAGACATGATTTGACCGTTGATCTATCATTTAACGTCCCTGATTTGCCAGTTGATTGATCCCAAGCTAATACTCGAAATACACAAAATTGGATCTCAAAAATGGATTCTACACAGCGAAAAACTAGAAGGTAAGCGTCCTCGAAATTATTGGACCATTCGATTAACTGGAATGCGGTAAGATGCAACGGAGCACATTGTGCCGAAAAGCGCATGATAAATTCTTATTTCATCACCTTCATGCTGCATGCCATGAAAGGCAGAGTGTTCTAGTTTCGAGCTCTTGACTTTGAGGCTTTGTATCTCCTTCGTTTTAAGTCCGATTTTGACGTGGTTTGTGGCGTTGGACTCGTCTTGATGAGGACTTCACACCGGTATAATCAAAGCTTGAGTTCAACAAAGCTGAAAAATATCAATTTCTGGACATTTAGTTGATTTTGCAACTATCGCAGCCTACGGTTAGTTCGTGGCTTTACTAGCCGGTGTTTGTGACACCGTTAGTTGACGTGAACCTAGTGGTAGGCCATCAAATTCTTGCTCGCATGAAGAAAAATGTAGACCCACTTGCTAGAGCGAGAAATTGGGTACATAAACGGTGTCGGCGACACTTTGGCTAGCCGAAGCACTTGGTTCTCGGCATTGTAGTTCAGGAGGTCAAACATGGTTTGAGAGACAAATTAATAAACAGGTGGAGGTCGTGATTGAATGGCCGTTTAGTGTGGAATGGTTGCCGAGCAGCTTTGTAGCCTTGCCGAGTAATCTTCTAGGAGTTGGGGTACTACCAAGTAATGTTGACGAAAAATGATGAATTAATCATGGTGCTAATAATTGTGCCAAATACTGTTGCCGAATAAGGTTGATGCACTGCCGAATAATGCTGATGCATTAATAATGGCCCAAATAGTGCAAAGCCGAATTCTTCATGCAACATGTCATGAAAATGCAGATTTTGTAGATTCAAACTCCTGACTTAGAGCCCTTGTATCTCCCTCGTTTGAAGTCCGATTGGTCTCATTTTTTCGGCGTTGGATTCATCACTCGGCCTAGTGTGCATTCTACTATTCAGACGCGTCGTTCCACCCTGGGTTGGATGCCGTTGGACCTCAGAAAGTTAATCAAAAATAAGAGTTAGTGTGTTCGTTTGTGTTCAGCTTGGCAATGTTGCGGAGTAATTAGTGGTAAGGTTGCGCAATGGTTAGAAGGCAAATCTTGGCACTTTGATTTGCCGAATCACTTAGTCGGCGACAACTCCACCCTCGACTCGCTAGAAATTAAAGATTGCTGATAACAGTGCTAGAAAGAGAAAGCTGTGGTCGGCCTATAATACCTTGTTTGTGAGCCGAACAAAACAAATAACAAATAAAGGTGTTATTGCCGCTTGATGGGCAACCCGAATAAATTGCCAAATACTCACTTTGATGTATAGTATTGACCCGATATGTCATTCATGTTGTCTTGTGAATGAAGTAACCTATGATACATTGAAGTAACAAGTGGATGACTTGGACGCCGATTTCAAATGCGAGTAACTTATGCATGATATTCGGCTCGTAGTGGTGCCGTTCTTTTTATCCTTGTGCTCATAGATCTCGTTAGTTAGAGCATCTCCAACGGTAGTAGGCATTTTACCTATCTAAATATTACTATAAAGTATATATTTTATTTTGCCTATCAACTGTTTTATGTTTTTACTCCAACCATGCTCTTTATTTTAGCTATTTATCCAAATACTATTAATTTTATAGAATGCCACGTCATAGATCTCGTTAGTTAGGAAGTTGGTAGATACTCGGCAAAGTTTTGAGCTTGATTGTTGCTTAGTCGGCTATGCAACTTGGTGTGATACCTGGCGAAGTCGATTCGGTGTTAGCCGATGTATTGCTAGAATTGATGTAATGAAGTTTCATTCTTGAGTCGTTGTTTCCAGAGGAAGAAATATCCACTAACATATGCTTGATAAAAAGAGAACCAGAAGAGATTTGGTTCTCGGCACCACGGATGTAGCCCACATGACTAAAGATATATGCACTACATGATTATCATTGCCGATAAGCTTGATGATGGAATTAGTGTGAATTGGGCAAGTTGATAACTATCTGGCATTGCCAAGTGAACTATGGTGAAGTGGCCAAGAGGTGCTTTGGTGTCATCGTTGGGATTTATCAATGTAATTCGGCTCTGCGACGTTGCTGAGTAGGCGTAGTTGTAATAGCTGGATCTAGAGTTTGTAATAGCCGGATCTTGGTTGGCAACTTCTCTTAGCTTCACAATGTGCCGAATCACTTGGTCGGCTTCTCTTTGTATTTGGCTTTGCTAAGAATGTGGTTGGCAAGATTGCTTTATGCATGCAACACCTTTGATCTTTGGTTTTGTCGAGATTTTGGTTGGCATCAACGTAAGCCATTAGAGAAAAAGTGAATCCAACTTGTGTATACGTGCATATATATGAAGAATCAACTTCAAGATATGTTTTGTGAAACAAAGAATAAATAAATAAATAGATAGACGCATGTATTAATTTAGCCGAGCAACTGTATTGACTTGCCGAAAAAATGTTCATACCAATAAAAGTGTGAAACCCATTTTTAGAGAGAGAAAATGGAGATATAAAAGTGGACCCATAAATTCTGTTTTGTTTTACAACTTTTCAATCAATATTTCAAATGAACAAAAGTTTCCACAAAGTTTGTATACATACATATACGTATATACAATTTAAGAACCCATTTAATTAGAGAGAAAATAGATCAGCATTACAGTGTTTGTTGAAATTTTGTTTCTTACTTACAGTACCGTGTTTGCTATTGCCTTCATTGACCTCTTTCTGACGATTCCTACAGACGGCGCCAATTGTGAACCATGAAATATCCTCTCACATGGATGTTGTAGAGATCTAACGAAGAGAAGAGCTTCACCCCTGTAGATCTGCAATGATGAACATAATCGGTGCCACCTAACCGAGGTTGCCGGCCGAGAGTATTCTGATGATGAAGTTAGTCCTTAAATTAAGAAGTAAATAGTATATATATATATTAGAAGGGATGTGTGTTCTGTAGAGGAAGATGAGACATACCTTTCACTCGAGATGTCTCTCTTTATATAGACGGAGGGTGTGATATTTATTTAGGCTAGACCCATTGTAAACTTTGTTTGGGTTAGGCCCAATAAACTAGTGCCTATATTTTTTTGGCTCTCACAGTTTAAATTAAAAAAGGATATTTAAAAAATTAAAGTTTAAATTGACAATTAAAAAATTAAAAATTATTTTGTTATAAAACTCAAATTTGGAGAGTTTTTTTGGTAATTTTTCCAAATAAATATATAAAAGACCTATTACCATCTACCATCAACATACCCATAGATAATCCTATCTACTAATCCTAACTACTAGATAAATCTAATTATAAAATATTCAACAAATTTTTATCATTTCACATTTTATGTCAGAATTGACATCATAGTTAGAAATGGTCTTAGATTTCTAAAATTTGAACAGAGAAAACCAAGTGGAGATATCCATTTCCACCATTGGTGCAGCCACTGCAGGATAGTCGAGTAGCGGCAACATAGACACAAATATCTTTAAAACGGTCTAAAAACACAAAAGTCGATTATAAAACTGGACACAAAGTCTCACACGAAATAGGTCCTATACCTATGTGACAAAGATGTGTCCGATTCTATAATTCATTTATGTGCAAGCACAAGAATGGAATATCTCTCCACTCCAGGTACTTCAACCATTAGTAACATAACATAACATAACATAACAAAACAAAAAAGCAATACAAAATTCAACTGGCCCAGCTTGAGCACATTTCTTCTAGGGGAGAGCAAAACTAAAGATTATGTATTTTGTGGTTTCAAAAACTAGTTTAACACAAGGCTTCCAGATTCAATATCAAGTACTGATTTTACAACAAGAACATAAACTCTATGGTGTTGGAGCCAATTGCTTCAATTTAGCTTGTAAGATGACTCCAACTTCATCTGCTATGTTCTTCTTCTTAGTTGCAACCTGCATTCAAAATTCTATGTTAATTATCAATCGAAAACAGCATCCCGATAAACAATAAACAAATTCAGAAGTCAAACCACTAAACAAATCCCTTAATATGAAATTCCATTGCTAGTTTAATTTAGGGGATCCCGACACCCATAAAACAGCATGTTTAGGGCTCCATTTGATGCAGCTTCAAGCAAACTAAATATTGATAATAAAAAAACATAAGCTAAAAGCACCTCTCCCTCTTACACTTCCCAATAATTAGCTTATTTAAGCTATCTTTGTCTCATAAGTTGTAGGTAGAAGTTGCATCAAACATTCTTACACATATTTCCAAAAGAAAAAGAAGAAGCCATGAGCAGCTCCACAAGCTACACCAAATAACCCCTTAGTGCAACTTGTCTCAAAGTTGAAGAGTTGATAATAATAAAACAAAAGCTAAAAATATTCCTCTCTCAGCTTCCAAGTAACCAACTTATTTAAGTTATTTTTGCCTTGTAAACTATAAGCAAAAACTACACCAAATACACAAAATCTCAAAATAAAAAAGGCTATAAGCAGCTCAGGAAGTTCCAAATGACTTGGCTCTCCTACAATAACACTTCTTCACACCCACCATCCTAAATCATTTCCTCATCTCCCTACCAACTTTGTGCATCCAGAAGAACTTCCCATAAAAGTATTTATTAATATTTGTTACATTCTATCTCAAAACTCATCCATCTTGATGTCCATGGTCCAGTCACAATGGACTGTCTCAAGTCACATAATATGATAATACCTTAGCATTTTACATTTTGGAATGCACATTGCAGGGAAGTGGTACAATTTCTCTTACACGATTTATGAATCCATATTGTGGGATGTAAAATCCGAATGACAGTTCCCTTTACTCCAAACAAAATTAGAGCAAAGCCACATATTGTGGGAGGTAAAATCCAAACGACAGTTCCCTTTAATCCAAACAAAATTAGAGCACGGCCATAGGATAGAGTTGGTTGGGAAGACCGAACTAGAACACTTTGGGAACGAGCTGGACTGAGAGTCAGCTCGAAGATCCGAACTAACTTTTGGGCTTGAATTGGAAATCCAAACAGCCAAACTAGGTCAATGCACGGTCCAACAAACGTGGACCAACAACTCCTAGAAATCTGTGAACATGGGACATGATCCCACATAAAGCGGAACAAGCATGAAGAGTGATAAGGAAGTCTTGACCACCACCAATGGTCATATGCAGCTCTCATAAGCACAGTACATCAACCCAACAAAGGTCATATGCAGCCCTTATAAGCACAGTGCATCAACCCAACAAAGGTACACAACAACTCATACTTGAATTCATACTTTTGGTGCTTAAACTCTTATAGGAGAGTCCTCTGGGTGACCACCGGCCGGAGTTTCTTCCTTTTTTGAGTGTTTTCAGGCAACTTACCCTGGAGTTCAGGCCAGGACCGCCGCCGTTGCAAGGTGTGGTAAGATTTTTCCCCACACAGATAAACTTATTTCCTATTACTCACCCCAAATTTGTTCTCCATAAAAGAAATAGAAGATAATGAATTTATAATGGTAAGATCAGATAATTAATAAGATGAATTTTCTAATGAGTAAGGTTAACGACAGGGCAACACCACGTCAAACCCTAACATACTAAGGTAAATTCTTACACGATTACTTTAATGTAACAAAAGTTAAAAAGTAAATCAACAACTTATGCATTTTAATGTATAACAACGCATCATTAACAATTTACTTCGAAAAATAGACTTAAGAAAATCCTATTTTTGTATTTTTGGAACTTATGCAAGCCACCATAAGTTTTTTAACTCTTTCAGTCCCAACTATTTGTCATTTTGCATGTTAATCAGGCCATGGCAGTTGCATTTTTGTCTGAAACTTTAAAATGTCATTACTTCCATTATACACATCATTTTAAAAAAAAAAAAAATTAAAATTAAAATTGATATTTTTGGACCATATTTACCAAGATCTATCAAATAAAATCCATATTAAATATGAAATCGTATAAAAAAAAACTGAGAAATTTCTCAGTTTTAAACTAAAAATAAGAAATTTCTTAGTTTCAATTCAACCCTAATTCATTTTTCAAAGCAATTCCAAGTTTGTTGACCTCCAAAACCAAGTGTATATATGGTTAATAAATATATTAATGTAAGCAGGTTTGTTAAGTATTGCATTTAGAGGGGTACAATTTGGTCTTGGGTGAGAGCCTGAGAAGTAGGAAATCATGTGTTCATATAAATAAAATATAATAACCTACCTTTCTTAACAAAGGGTAAGCATGGTTTGGTTTGGTTCGGTTTACCCAACCACTATGAAATTTGGAACCAAACCAGACAAGCAGTAAAAACGTGATTTGGTTCAGTTTGGAACCATGGTTTTTAGAAACCTTGTCATCATTCACAACATGATCACAAAATATTGTTGACAACCTGCTCAAACATCAAGCAATCTGCCATCATTTTACGAACAATAATGATTTAGATGATTGTTTATCTAGACGGACTGGTTTTCTGGAAATGTTGCACCCATATCCAAGAGTTGAGTGTTTGACAAGGGTATCTCATACAGTAAAAGAGTCCATGTATCATACACTCTAACTAAGTCCACTTATCCAAAGCTCGTGATATCTGCAGGCTTGGAAAACAATATCCATACTGCATGCTAGAGAATTTATATTACCACCTGATTTACAGCTAATATACTATCCACATAAGAAAAATCACTTTATCTAACAAAAACATGACATTCCACTCAATGGGACAAAGAGTCATCATAAGAACAAGGTCCACACATAATAGAACGAATCCCAAAACAGAAAAGGCAAAGAGGCTCACAATTCAGAATTTCACTAAACTACTATAATATTTTCAAATCAGGGAATCCTCAAAGAGCACAAGAGTGCTGAGACCTCACTGATTTTGCAAATACATAGTAAATTTCCTGGCCCTCAAGGGCAACATGCTTCAGGATATTCATAACCATCATCTCAAAACAAAAAACATAAGACTTACAGGAATCATACCTCAACAAGTTGGTCATAATTAGACTTCAGCAAGTTGATTTTACGCTCACAATAATCTTTTCCTTCTGCCATTGTTTTCTGATTCAAAGACAATTAACAAAATCAAGTCATGATATAGATTCATCAATAAGGGGGGGAGAAAGAAGAAAAATATTAAAACTTTTAGTTGGGGGCATGAAAGGTGAGAAAAACTGACATATTTGCTGCACCTTTTCCTCTCCTTCACTACTTTTTGACATGTTCAACTTATCAAAAGAGAGTAATAGATCACATTTACAACAATGATCTCCTTCCTAATTATTAAAAGAATCCATAAATGAAATGGGATCATTTTTTAAGTTAGCGTATGAGTTTAAAGGAAAATTTTACTCAGATCCCCCTTCTCCATATGCACTTCAAGAAAATTTATACAGTAGAAAAATTACACCAATAGTCACTATATTTTGGCCCTTCTGTCATTTTGGTCTCTACAATTTCAATTAGCTCGACTTTGGCCATGAATTTATGATTTTGTCTTAATTTGGTTCAATTAATTACAATTGTTAGTGTTTTTTGATAGAAAATGCGCAAATAAACAACATATATTATGCTTTTATAAGAAAAATGATAAACTTTTTCAATTCAGTGAGTTAGCCTCAACTAACTTAGTGACCATTTTCCTTCAAAAATCCTAATCGGCAGTATTAATTGGACCAAATTGATACCAAATCTAAATTAAGGGTCAAAATTTAGCTAATTAAAATTATAGGAACTAAAATGACACAAGAGGCAAAATGCAAGTACTACCGATGTAATTTGTCAAAAATCTAATAACTATCAAATATGCTTTTTATTATTCCAACTTTCCATGAATTCTTCATTTTCTAACAAATCAGAAAAAATGAATTCAATTACAGGCAGCTTAATTGTTTAGTTTCCTATAGTTGTCCTCCATCACTACTACACAAGCATCCAATTTTGATTTAAGCACAACAAAAAATGGAAACCAAAGCATAATCGATATTGACAAACTGCATACAAGCTAGAACCAGGTCAAGTAAAAGTTTGCTTCGACATAAACCAGATAACGGGAGTTGGCTCTGAAACAAATAACTCTCAAGCACCATGATTCCTAAACAGGCTTTTTAGTCCATTTAACATGTGCCTCAAATCATCTCCAATCCTTACTCTCATTTTTCAGCAAAATTTGAGTGAAATTTTGGTTAAAAGCTTGATATGATATAAAACAATCCAATCCTTCCTTTCTTTATTCATCAAATCTTTTTGAAACATTCCAAACTCACACTAAAAACCTGTTTTAACCATTTTTTATGAAAAAACAAGGTTACCTCTCATACATGGTTTTGTGGTTGACAATAAGACCCTTTTTTCTAACAATAAGATTGAAACAGAACAGTTCCAAAAAAACACTTCAAAATACATTTGTGCATAATTTGCATATTATTGTGATTTTAAAACAGGAAAACCTAAACCAAACATCACTTTAACATCCCTACACCCTTGCAAATCAGAAACAGTCCTCACATCCCCTAGACGCCAGTAAACCTAACGTTGTGTTTGCATCACAGATTTAGGCACTGGTTGTATTAACATTAGTCTGACCTTTTCCCTTTTCCTTTTTTTTTTTCTTTTCTAAATCCCTATTAACATTAGTCTGACCTTTTCCCTTTTCCTTTTTTTTTTCTTTTCTAAATCCCTACTAACATTAGTCTGACCTTTTCCCTTTTCCTTTTTTTTTCTTTTCTTTACTAAATCCCTACCCAAATACATGGTCCAAACACAGCCTAAACTGATAAAAAAAAATGAGAAAAACATACACAAAAATGAATGAAAATAGATAGCTGACAATTTTCAAGTATGCAAACTCGGAAGCTAATTTTCAAGTACGCAAAAAACATAAACACTGCAAAATGCATTATTGTGCATAATTTTCACATTATTGTGATTTTAAAACAGGAAAATCAAAACCAAACGTCACTTTAACATATCTCTAGACCCTTGCAAATCAGAAATAGTCCTCACATCGATAACCGTCAGTAAACCCTAACGTCGTGTTTGAATCATCGATTTAGGTACTGAGTGAAAAGAGCTGAAAATTTTCAAATTATGCAAACTCGGAAGCTACCAACAGACCTCAATGAAGTATCCAGTGCCGACATCGACGAGAACTTTATCAGCATCATCGAGCGTGCCAGGAACGTACAACGACGCCGTAAGTGGCACCAGCATTTTCTTACCTGAAATCAGAAATCGGGCAAAATCATCGGTCAAACCATGAAATTCTAGAGAGAGAGAGAGAGAGAGATAGAAGAGAGAGAGAAGGGAGACCTTGGGGGCGGAGGGAGAGGTCGTGGAGGGAGGTGGAGGCGATGTCGAGGCGAGCGGTGGCGGTGCGGATGTTGTTGAGGCTGTCTTGGAGGAGATTGACTTCCAGATCGGCTTGCTCTTTCAGTGCCTTTAGCTGTTCCACGCTCATCTTATCTATCTCCGCCGCTCTCATCATTGCTCCTCCGCTTCCTCCTCCTCTAGACGCCATTTCTAAACCCAAAACCCTTCTCTCTCTCTCTCGACTTCAGCTTTGCAAGGCAAGGGTATGTTTTGGTGCAGTAAATTGAAAACTTTACTTAAGCCCCGTTTGGCTAACATTTTGGGCTAAATAATTTCAAAAAAGATAAAATTGATTATAAACGCCTATAATATAAAATATTACTTTTTATTCCTAATGATTATATTTTTTCATTCACAAAAATTAAAAGGAATTTCAAAACAAAAACCAAACAAAGTTAAAAAAGTCTCAACATAAAAAGTTGATTATATTAGTCAATGCCAAACAAACTCTAAAGGGTTTATTACACTTTCCATCCCATAATTATCACCAAATTATATAGTATTTAGCCCTGATTTGGCTATCATTTTGGGGCTGAAAAAACACAAAATGATAAAATAGACTAAATAAATTAATAAGACAAAATATCACATCTAACTCATAATCATTGCACTTTTTATCTCACAAAAGTCAAAAAATCCAAACCAAACGAGGCTAAAAAAATTCCAATACAAAAAAGTTAGCTATATTAGCCAATGCCAAACGAAGCTTTAACTATTAATTGAATCTATTCAGTTCATAAAATATATAAATCAAAATTTATTTACGGTGTATTTAATAAAGAGATTTAAGAAGAAATTTGAAAAGAAAAAAGAAAAACGTGTGTGAAATTAGATAAAATGTAGGCATATTTTATTCATATTTTACATATTTTTTCTTTTTTTCATTCCAAATTCCTTCTCAAATCTCCCAACCTAACACAATGTTATTCCCTAAACTACCTATTGTATCTATTAAATCCCTAAACTATTCAATTCAAACATATTTAGTTTTGAAAATGAGAGGGTAAAATATGTAAATTTTGGCTAAGCTAGGACTGGGAAGAAGCGAGCCGAGCTGTGAGCTGAGTAGAGTGGACTTCCCCATTGAGTCTAGCTAACTCGGTCATAAGTGATTAAAATAGCCCGGTTTGAGTATGCTAAACTGAGGTACATAGAGCTGAATTATAAGAACAAGGGGAAACCGAGCTAGGTGAAGCTCGATTAAATCTGGCGCTTAAGCATGGTAGTGTTAGCTCGGTCATTTTGTCATACTACCGAAGTAAAACCATTTCACTTGGTTAAAGCAGTGAGAAGGGTGTTAAGAGATAAACATTATCTCTTAGAGATGTGATTCTTAGGAAAACTCTACATTGAAGAATAAAGGGTTCTACTAGGATTGTGCCACACGGAATCTATAAAAGCTCATGACCAGACTTATGTACAGATATCACAATTTTGATTCTCGAGTACACAGAACTTTTGTCTATTTGTCTATTTTGCTGACTTAGGCATCAGAGAGGTATTCAGCACACACCCACCGACTAGCTCACGTTTGTGTTTTCAGGGAATAAAGCGACGACGTTTGGAGGAGCGCAGACTTGATTAACAGGATTATACGAAAACATTATTTTGTGTTCGTACAGAAAGGATTACAAAATATAAAATAAAAGCTCATAGGCATTATAAATTATTAAAAGACTCAACCTAATTAAGATTTCATATAGAAAAATTTTAAAATTTTATTTTGTCTTTAAAAAGTGTTTTATTTTATTATGTGTTTAAATTAGTATTAGAGTCTGGTTTCTTAGTCTTTCTAATAAAATTATATGAGAATTAGATATACTGAAAAAGTATAATTAAATAATTTAAATAATAATACTTTGCTACAAATAATAATAAAATAAATAATATATTAATTAATTTATGAAAAAGAAGTTAGCAAAAACTTAAAAACAATCAATTACAAATTATGAACGACGTCTGACATATAATACTAGATACCATAAGAACCAACACCCATTTTTCAAAGACATAATAAAAATTTAATTAGATAGGGTCTTTTACTAATTTATGATACTTATAAACTTATACTTATAGAAGCGTTGGTCAAACTTGCCAACCTTCTTTGTTGCCCACTAGTACAAAAACAGATAAAGATCACACTTTTTTTGTGTGATATATATTTTTTAATCACACTTTTTAAGTTTTATTGAAGTGTGATCTTTGAGAGTGTGATTAAAAAGGGTCATTTTTAATCACACTTTTTAAGTGTCATTAAAAAATGATTCATCACATCTTTTAAGTGCGATTAATAATATTTAGATCACATCTTTTAAGTGTAATTGAAAACATTTAGATCACATCTTTTAAGTGTGATTAAAAATATTTAGACCACATCTTTTAAATGTGATTAAAAATATTTAAACCACATCTTTTAAGTGTAATTAATAACATTTAGATCACATCTTTTAAGTGTGATAAATAACTAATAAAACCCGTGATAAAAAAAAAATCGACATATTTGAAGAATAATCAATATTATTTTTGTACGCGCATTTGAAGAATGTAATACACAATATATACTATATTTTAAATCACGACCATATATTGAATAGAATAACGTCATATATTTCACAAATGAAAGTTAAATGTTCAAAAGTATATACAAAGGAATTAATAAAAAGTTTTTAACTGTAATTACATATATTAAAAAATGAAAAAAACTTAAAAAAACTAAATTCTTAAATTCTTTAACCATATTTTGCATCTCTCCAAGAAATTTCTAACCTGAAAAATAAAAACACAAATTAATTCAAAAACTGCTAAAATCAAAAAATATATTATGAAAATGGAATAAATCTATAGAATCGTATAACATAGCTCAAGGAAAGAATCAAAAAGAAAAATATATATAACCACTTCAGTTTTAGGAATTAATCATTGCTAATGCCACTAGGTCCTAATATAATAAAGAGTACATCTAGAATTTCAAAGAGCAACTGCTCAGTCACTTTGATAATACAAGTCAAACAATTGAAAATGCAACTTAATATGTTTAAATTCTATCACGATTAAAATGTATATGTTATAATTACAATGGCAATTCATGATCAAATATTTGCAATATAAAACATATGCATGAAATGACACTCGCTTTTCATATAGACCCTTAATTTGTCCTTCCAGATCTTCATTGAGAACTATTAGATACCCTTCAAACGCATGTTCAAAATGTTCCTCACTGCAACAAATAGAAGCAATGAAAATAAGTTTTTAAACCAAGAGATGGGAAGCGACAAAGCATTTTCAAGAGCTGCAAATCTGAACACTACCTATCAGAATTTTCCTTCCTCTGAATTTTGTCGTTTCAAATTGATGTGATGTTTTCCTTCTTTTCCTCATTACTTCGCTTGATTCTATTTGATTCTATTCAGCATTTTACTGGTTGATGAAGTTAAGCAAAGCAAAGGGCCATTATTCTGTTCATTGATGAGTTGCACACTCTGGGATCAGAATATAACAGGGAATTTCTGCTTAATCTCCCATTTATCAGTCAAAGTTCTTATCAAAAAAAAAAACTTTAAGAAGCAACAAAATACAGAAATGGAAATTAAATTCACATAAAAGAGAAAGATTCAGTAGAAGTTATGAAGATAAACCTCATCTTGACAATTATCGATAATCTTTTTGATCCTGAAGACCTCCCAAAAAATTTGACTCTCTTCTTCAATATCATCAGTCAATGCCTCAGCTTCTCCATAGCTGTAATTGCTCACTTGATTGATATTGAATCTTATCATAGGCTTCTCCATAGCTGTAATAGGTTCGAAAATAACCCAGAAGTCAGATTTTTTTTTAGGAGGAATCTATGTGCTAATTCCAGGAATACTATGGCAAAGAAATAGTGAAATACAGGGAAGGAAAATAAACTCTCAAGATTCCAGCATTCTTTCTAACGCTTCAAGAATTAATTACCACAACAATTGAGTAATTGATGCTGATCCTAAAGGTTTTGCATATGGATAAACCTAAATGCCGACAAGCATATGCCAGATAAGGAGAACTTAAGACAGACAAAATGCACAATTCAACATCCCAATTCAACATCCGGACATAAAAGCAGATTAGGGTATAAGTAAATAATTCCTCCATTTTTTTTTATAATTTTTTATGTCTACCTTCCGTTTGGGAACAACTAGGCTCTTGGTGTGCATCGGAGACTGTGGGATGACCCTAGATAACTACATACGTCAATGTCTTCTTCTTTAACTGAATATCTCTTGAACGTGTCCAAAGCTCCCTCCAAAAGCAGCTTCATCACAATCTCATTAAACCGTGCCACAACCTTTGCAATAGAAACAAATTATTAGAAACATCGAAGGGATACACATCAAAATAGAATATAAATTGAACTACTGCAAATATTTAATTGAACCAACATTACCTAGATTACTTATCATCAACTCAAGTTGCAATTTACCTCTTGTTTTTTTCTTCTTTTTTTTTTTGGAGCAAAAAGTAAATAAATAAAAACTACATAATTTTAAAAGAGTCATTTTTTAAAAGATTCATTCGTAGGGGAGAGAGAGGCGTTGTGAATGAAGAGGTTGTAAAATTTTGTTAAGGCATAACCACTAATTGCAACGAAATGAGAGCATTAATATGAAGAGACAAAGTAGAACACATTGTTACATGGCCAGGAATTGGAATATATTTGAATATTCAGGGAAAATATGGAAATGCGACCAACATAGAACTGAAAAACATGAATGCACAGCTAGAAATAGAATTTCATAGTACATTATGCATAAAATATATGCATATAAGCACAAAATGAATCATTCATTGATGAAATTGAATAAATCCCATATGCTCATTCAAACAAATGCTAAATAACAAGAGAGGGGTGGACATAAAAAATAAATAGACTGACCACAGCAAAGCGAAGGCCCTCAGTTGCAGTAAGAGATCCCGTCAAATGTCAAACAGCTGTTGTGCATGCGAACGACAAAGATTGGGTCCGAGAACGATCAGCTTCACTGCTCACACCCACTCCAACATTAGGCCAAAAGCCTAAAAATAAATAAATTAGATAGACATGATTAACACACAAATAGTTTTCATATTAAATTTAAAAAGAAAAATAAACCTAAAATTAAAACTATTCACTTGGGATGGCCAATGAAGAAGTTGTCATAGGTGTTAATTTACGATGAGGAAATAAACGACTACGAAGAGGAG